AACAGGAATCCTGATACACATATTGATCACTTAGGACACTAGGACACTTTCAAATACAACAGGAATCCTGATACACATATTGATCACTTAGGACACTAGGACAGATAGGACGCTTTCAAATACGACAGAAATCCTGATACACATATTGATCACTTAAAGTTTAGGTCGCAACCAACACACCAATCATGGAAGAAGCTTTTGCTTAAGAGTCTTATACATTTTGAAAGTGTACTCTCGTGCCATGGCATTTCTAAAGAAGTACAGCATGGGATTTACTGCAGACTTGGAAAAGAGCAARAYMARGGCYACTTGTCGAAATGCCTCTCGASCATTGACACGGTACTCACTTTGTTCYGAGCTAAAAAGCTGTTTTTCTAAACCAGAAATAGTTATAGGAAMGTAGCTGACAAACAAGGAGATGCATATGAGTGCAACAGTTCTCAGTCCCCTTCGTTCTTGTTTTATATGCTGACTTCTTGGATCTAAGGCCATTTGATGTGTTCTGATCTTTTTGGCGTGAAATCGCGATATTCTGTTAATCTTTATGTAAATAACTATTATGAAAACWGCGCTGGCGAAAAGAACCGCCTCCGGAACGATTCTGGTGCCAGTTTGGACAGGAAACTGAAATGCAGCAACGGAACCAACAACAATGACTGTGACCCACGAACCACCAATAGCAATCCTCACGCGACGAGTAGTAACAATCGAGTGATACTTGAGGGAATACTTTACGGAAATATATCGATCCAGTGTTATCAAGCACAGAGTACTCATATTTGCATAAAGTAGGATCAAGGAGAATGCATCGGCAAACGGAAGTAGATTTTTTCTTGCTATATTTGGACCTCGACAACTTGACAGAAAGATGCAGTACGACAGGCGTAAGCTATTCAGGTTTTGAAGAATGAGCGCGTTGAGGAAGTCGATAAGTGCCAAATTGGCAAGCAAATAATTTGCAGGAACTCTCAGCTGACAGTACACTTTAAGAAGAAGAATAACGATTGAGTTACCAAATAGAGCCACAAAAATTACAAGTACATTAGCTATCAGCAGAAATAATGTCAGTTCGTAGCTAAAGTTTAGCAGTTTTTGCACGCTGTCGATGTATGCATTCCAGTTTTTCTCGCCTGGTTTTGTAAYGATGCTGTTGTTCATTGCGCTAGGAGGATTATTCATATTCTGTGATGAAATGAAGCACCTTTTAAGGCAACACTCAGGCTCAACATTTGTGGAAGTTCTTCTATTCACATATAGTCATTTGATAAGTTTTAGTCGTCTTCATGTAGTGCTTCCTTCTACTAAACGACAGATTAACCTCATTCCAAAGTCTTCTTTATTTCAAATTATCTAGCACTCTGAAAAAGTAAAAGTATTTTAAACATCACTATTTGTGTTATCATAAACACCATCATTAACCACATTATAAGGTCGAAGAGCAGCAAACCCTTGTTCCTCAACAACTCCTGTCAAGTTAATAGAGCTTTCAAAATAAAGTAATCAGTAATAAATTATTGTATATGCGGCTGATCAATACTAACATCATATTGGTTTATCTAATGTTCAAAAGTGTCCGYTTGAGCCTGAAACTAGCATAGCACATGCTTGTTATATGTTATATTTATGTTGTAGGAGCAGAAGAAATAAAATGTGAAAGTTTTACTTTCCGTTTTTCCTTATTTTAACTCAAAGTCATAGTTTTAGGAACGGGCAAATGTATTTTTGAGTGGACGGTAAATTGTCTTTGTTTATTGTAGGATATGTTTTTCTTCCGTTAGGCTGGTATTAACATTAATTGCTCGGACCCGAAGGGCCTAGAGCTTAGTTCTGCTAACACAAATCCAAATGGTCAGAAAATTCTTATCTTGTGACTAGGGCGAAGACCGCATGCAGTATTTCTTCGCCATCAAACTTCTTGCGAATTTCCTGCGAATTTCCTACGAACTGCCGATTATAGTGATCGCAGAAAATTTTCTGTATCAGATTCATAAAAAGTTAATGTATGAGTCAATTCCAAAGGTGCCCATCCCCCCCCCCCCCCCCCCGGGCCTTTGACTTTTTGGAAAAAAAATTGGTCAAATTCCCCACCATATGGCCAAATTGAACAGTCAAATGCCCCACTAGTAAAAGCAAATGAGTGGTCAAATGCCCGCCCCATAGGTCAGTTTTTTTTACGTTGGTTTACGAGTTTTGTTGTTGTTGCTTTATTTCTATCGAAATTTTTCATCGTGAAAGTAGGAAAGATGAAGAATAGAGGGGGGGGGGGGGGGGATTGGCACCTTTGGAATTGACTCGTACATAACCTTACTTTGATCTTCTGAGAATAGTGTAGAATAGATAACAAGGAATTAAATTCCCTGAGCTAGGGCTTGTAGTTAACAGACAAGACAACACCATATTTTTCGAAAGGAACAAAGGCTGTTGGCTACGCTATTTTTCCTAAACCGTTTTTCATTAAATGTTGATATATTACAGGGTTGAGAAAATATGAAACGTTTTGAAATGCAGAATGACGGCACAAAAATAGGAAACTTTACTTAGTAATGCTAAGAAAAAATCAACTTTAGCATGACTTTYATCAAACATACCTCTTCAATTGAGTATTGCTTGCAAGAGGAACTTATCCAATGCTTGTCGTGTTTAACTGTGTAAAAGAAGCTGTGGTCGGAAAATGCAGTTTTCCGATATAAAAGACAGTGAATGAGCAGGTGTGTTGGCAAACGAGCCGTACTTGTCTCTCGCCCACATTATGATTGTCAGTAAAATTTCCCTATAATGTTGACATTGATGTGGATAATTTTTTATTTTATTTTATTTTGTGTGTGTGGATAATTTATTTGTTATATACATGCCATGATACATACATCTATAGGCGATGTTATATACATGCCATGATACATACATCTATAGGCGAWYTTATATACATGCCATGATACATACATCTATAGGCGATGTTATATACATGCCATGATACATACATCTATAGGCGAAACAGAAAGAAACTTTGCAAACTGGAACATGAGGTGATAAATCTTGATAAAACCATTTGAGCCAGCCCTTATTGCTCATCCCGGCCACTCTTTCACATGGCACATCATTGGTAAAGCCAGCAAGTTTCTTCCAAAGCGTAGAACCATTGAAGCGTTCAAGATCTTAACTGACAAAGCCATCACTATGCTTATGGCAAGCCGATTAGGACAAAAGTGGAGTGAAATTTTACTAGACGAGATGCATTTTTGTTACTTCCAGTAAAAAAAGATTAGTGATCGAGAAAAACTTTTTTTAAAATAGACGGGAAAAAAAATATTGATATGCGAGAAAAATTTTCATGGACGATAAAAAAGTTCAATGGACGAGAATAACGATTAATTATTAATTAATAACGAAACATGGTCAGCGGTATTGTARATAAAACAAAATCAAAAATGGTGGACTTTAGTGTGTTTTCAAGCGATGATTTTAAAGAGCTGTTGGCTTCACTTGGTCAGTTAATGGGAAAAAACACCTTATCATTCGATAATGAAGGCTTATTTTTACCGAATCCTCTCTTCAGACCTTGTTTGTGCTTTGATGGATTGTCTCGTGACATTGTTGAGTAAAATCAATATCATAATTAGCGCTGTTGATAGAAGCAACATAAGGGAAACTATTTCAGTCAACAAGGATACAGATGTTAGACCTTCCTTTTAAATATCAATAGATATTATAGAACAGAGAGACTGGCATTAGCTGGAACACAGGTAGCCCAAGCTCAGCACTTGTCGACTTTTATCAGAAGGTCTCATAGAGAAAACCGAAAAATTCCAAAAAAGACATGAAGTAAACATAAAGTAAACAAATATCAATAAAAAAGGCACTTTATTTCACTGTACAGAGCTAAAACTTCGTATGAAAGTGTAATATATTAAATGCATTTTATTGGGATTTCCACCTTTTATTGAATTTTTCGTTTTTCTCTATGAGATCTTCAGAGAAAAGCCGACAAACGCTAATTATGCTATTGAATTTACTTAACAATGTCAGGAGGCAATCCATCAAAGCACAAACAAGGTCAAGAAGAGAGGATTCGGTGAAAGTAGAACGAGAGATAGCTTCATAGCTGTCAACCCTCCCACTGACACGGCATAGCGTTTTGAAAAGCGCTATATGCTACATGTATAGTTTAAAACACGAGAGACTGTTTTATCAGTTATAAAGATTCGAGCCGAAGGAATTTTCACAATTTGCGAATAAAAAATATCAAACAATAAACACCGTAAAAGCTCTGATAAAATTGAAAATTCAATACATACTTGAATCTTTTCATGAAATTGACATTACCGTTAACACATTTGATAACATATAACAATTGATGTAAATTCTCTTTCTAAATCCAGAGATCGAAAAGTAATTGAAAGTAGGGCAAAAAGGAGAAGATCTTTCCGGTGAAAAAGAACGAAGTCGAGAGAAACGTGAAAGAGCAAAAAGAAGATTTTTGTCTCAGTTACTGTTAATGACACATAAGCGCTACAACTAGTTATAAACACGAGAGAGAGAGTGTTTTCAACGGATTCAAATACTCCAACTCATTATTTGCACTCACAGTGAAATCTTCTTTTTAGATGAAGAGTGTGTTTTTTGTTTTTGGATTAAGATGGCGTTATGAAGGCTTTTAGCAATTAGTGATCAATGATATTGATCTCTTTTGCTTCAATTTACAACAAGAACACAAAACCCGATTGTTGCTAGTTTAGAGCGATGATTTCGATCGAATAACGGATTTTTACGTGATGATGAGTAAACTAACATTGAGAATTGAGAGAACAACTTCAAAAACAACAACTTCAAACAACAACAAAAACAACAAAAACAACAACAACAAACAACTTCAAAAACAGGTGCTTTGGGTGCGGACGCACCCCCCCCTTTTTGTACGACGTATTTTTTTATTATATCAGTATAAAGGTTTTTTTTGTGCTGTTAGTTTATACTCCTGTTATACTTTTATCGAGAAAACGAGCAGCATACACAACATGTGTCTGCCACTATGCTGCTTAACAATCTATTTGAGTAGTGTAGTCAAAGACACCTTGAAATAAAAGTCAATTTGCTTCCGGTCAAAATGTGCATAATTTTCTTGCTTTAGGCAATACACAGCTAATAATCTGATATACTTAGTTTTTAGCCATATATTACTGTCAAAAGCACCTCCCTCCCCGCTTATAAAATGCTGGATCCGCCTCTGAAAATAGCAAAATAGTAATGTTTACGTAACAAATAAAACGTGTGGTTTATCTAATTAGGTTTAAAATGAATTCTACAAGGATTTATTTACTTAAGTTTATAAGTATAGTTTAAAACACGAMKMKGAGTGTTTTAAACGGCTTAAAAAACTCCAACACTAATTTGAAACTCAAATCCGTTAATATTTTTGGAGAAATTGCCGTACAAATATGTRCAGAGATAAATGGYGRAAACTGATCATGCGCGAATCAKTTTACAAAGCACTCTTGTCATCRCACATTGAATACGCATAAAGTAAAATAGAASCSCTCTTGGCTGTTCACTGAAATCGGTTGACATCCTGCATTGGTKAATGATCAGGTTTCAAACCTGAGACCTTTGCTAGGGTCATGGACCTTTATATCTGATAAAGGTCACCCTTATTAGTATTCT